AGTATATTTTTACCGTTGCATTTTCCATTTTGGATATTTCTAATGGTGCAATTTTATTTACAAAACCATTATCATCACGCAAACCAATAATCATTGTTTTGATACCTATAAGACATTGACAACGTTTCAAACTATTTCGAAGTTCAACAAGTAGAAGTTACTGCTTTTTCAACACAGAATTAGAGACATGAGAAGAAAATGTATAACCTTAAAAAAAGCACGAATTATCAGTATAAAATGTGATCAATTTTTTTCTCGATGTCATGAGTTCATGTATAGTAATTACTCAGAATTCGTGTTAAATTATAAAACTAATTAAAGAAAAACAAAAAATGGCATGCCCTTCGATCATTTCTAAATGGTCAAGTAAAAAACCCGGTGGTTAAAGAAGGTTTCATAAGATTATTTGAAATTACTAAATACTTTTCGTGAAAAACACGGTGTTACAATCGGTAAATATGCCCTATGATTGCATATGGCGGCAGAAGTCATTTTGTCAAATAAAGCTTACGAGGGAACCCCCTGAGGTGTCCCCGTCCAATTTCCTTCGTTCATATGCCATTCGATAGGTCATATGGAGGTATGAAAAAGCATAAGAGGAATAGTGCGCAATTTGCTTCCTTCAAAAGATCGAATGGCATATGAACGAAGTGTCTAACTTTGATTTATATCTCGTGTTGTTTCGTTAAAAAATAGGAAACTGTTCATATGTCTCTAAAGAATGGCTTTTTTTCGAAATTCCGTAACGCTCGGTATTTTGCATATAACTTAGCCCTAGCTTGCGAAAAGTGAATGAAATTTTTATAGGTAATAGATCTTGGTGAATTACAACTGTGATAAAATATTTAGCGCTTTTGCTGTTGTTTTGACGAAAACAGAGTTTAAGGAACATGGAAAAATGAAAGTCCGTAAGGCCTGTCCGCGCCATTGTGTGTTTTTATATCGTGTTCTCTTAGATTTCTAATATTTACCAACGCTTGTACAAGAGGGTGTTTAGTGTCTAATGCGTTTACGATTTTTTCATATCCGGGACAAACTAATAACGAAAAAGGTGGTAAATGTTCAGCTAAAATGCTTTCGTCAATTGCGCTAAGCTGATAATCTTTATTTTCGTTCAGAAATTTCGATAAGCTTCTTATAATTCTTGTATTCCTGATGGTTTGTCTGTCTGATCTTGACATAAGTCGCGAATAATAGATAAAGGTTAATCGAAAACCGGATAATTGGCCAATTACATATGGTAAGACTGGATCATTTTTATCTTTTTCTGTCAAATATCCTCTCAAATAAGTATGTCCTTTTTTTTCCACAATGCCGTAATCCATTTCCACGAGCTGTGTGTAACCGCAACACACATTGGGATTTACATAATTGAAAAATAAATCTATTAATCGCCAACGCATGATGATATTTCTTTACTGGTAGCACCATCCGAAATTTATACCAAAAAATGAATACCCAGCTCTACAAATCATATAAGGTGTCTTGCTAAATACTAAATCATCAAACGTTCCTTTCTGAGACACTTTCGTTATTCCGTGATCAGGTGACCATATTTCTGTTTTGTTTTCTAAAAATTTGTCCAATGATTCTTTCATGTCATCCTTGAATCTTACAATCTCATCATAAATATCTCTGGATTCATCAGGCTTTGCATACTTGTGCAATTCTTTATTCTCAACATAAGTATACCAGAATTTATTAAACTCTTCAGCCATCGGAAAAAACCTGTAATACTTGTTTAAATATTGATTCACAATTCTTTCTGTTTCGGGTGTTTTGACAATATCACATTGAACATCTATATCTCCGCTTGGCAAAGATAAAATTTTCTGATCATTTTCTTCTAACAAGAACTCATAACTGGCGCTCGCCATAGAACCTATGACGTAAGGAACGTTTATCCAAGCCCCTATAGGTTTTACGTATGCTTTGCGTACCCATTCATTTTCACCAGGTGAAATATACTCTCTTTCAACCTTTGATATATCTGACCCATCTGGTTGTAATGTGCTTCTTATATAAAAGTGTTTATCATTCAGTTGCGAGTCTTCCAAATGTTTACATTTTATGTCTATTTTGATCTTACTTAAACCAAATATAATTTCGGGTAAAATATACAAACCCTTTAAAACTAATGCTGTACAGTTCGGAGTTAATATTTTATCACCTAAGATATGTTGAGGTTTTGTATCATCACCATGTTGCATTGGATATGGTGCACTTTTATCGTGTTTTTCTATACTGTTGGGACTTTCTTTCGACTTCACATAATGAGTGCGCTTGTTGGCATATAAGATGCAACTCCAACAGCATTTCTCTGTGTATATTTCGACGTTAATCATATTGTTTCGTGTAGATGTTGTGAGAAATTAGCAGCTTCACACATCCCTTCAGTTGTTCTAAATTTTGATGCGATTTTGTGCCCCCTATAAACTGCATACGTTTCCATTTTATTTTGTGAGTTTGTACCTTTGCAAACCTGGAATATATTTTAGAAGTCTAAAGGACGAAGGCGCATAAGACCAGAAATCGGCTCACTGACTTTTTTCCGAGCCATCGCCTTAGAACAGACATAGAATGATAGAACTCAACGCGGCGAACATTTTGACGCTATTTTGGTGCTACTTTTGATTTATTTTGATGATCATCGGCTATTTCGTCTCTGCTTGATAAGGTATTTGTATGCTATTCCTTGACAGATGACTTCTTAATTAGTGATCTGAATTCGGACAGTATGTCACCTCGGAAACCTGTTTTTAAAGCGCTGAGTCGGAAAAAAGTCAGTGGGCCGATTTCTGGTCTTATGTGCTTCCGTTCTTCCATATTTTCTTGATTATGCACAACATCACTCAAACTATTCATGTCGCAAAATGTTTTTGCTTCTTTTAAAACTCTGAAGAAGAGTACGTGTAAGTGTGACGGTTAGGTAAATCGATCATAAAATAGACTAACCTATCTGTTGGAGAAAAGACATAAGCGATTCAAGATCAGGATGTGAGTCAAGAAAAGTCTACATGCTCATGAGGCTAACCTTCACAACCGTCATCCAAAGAAACAATTTAATAAATCTTTTTTTTATCTTAAAAAATGTTAAACTATGTAGATTGTTTAACTCTTTATGACCGGCTGGCTTTCTGAGCGAATATTGTGAAAGTTCATTTTAAAAACATGTAACAAATCTCAAGTCCAAAAACGAACAGTTTTCCTGGTTAGAATAATGTAATACTCCTATTGACTAACAAACAAAACATTTTTTTAACTACTTTGCATCACACGGCCTACTTTTTCTCCATTAGAGCATGATTTAAGCAAAAATATTTGCTCCAGTGTTTGGTGATACCAAAGAATGTTTTGAAGATGATCGTTATTTACGAAAATATATTTATCCGTTAAAAACAGTCGATGTAAAATTTGATTGTACAGTTGGTGAGAGTACGTTTGAATTACAAGGACAAAACAAAAATATAGATAGTCTGTTATGGTGGCTTTTGAGACACAAAAATGAATATTATCAAAATGGAAGGTATAGATCAATACTTTGCTATTAACTACAGTGGTGGCATACCCATGCAAGCCTTTTTTTGAGCCAACGCGTTAGTTTGGACAGGTAACGCGTTTTGACGCATTTTTGGTGAAAATGAACGCGTTAGTGTACTATAAACGCATCGAAACGCGTTTAAATCCAATGCGTTCTGACGCGTTAGAGAAAACGGATGCGTTAATTAACAACGCGTTAAGGTGCATTAATTACCGACGCGTTTAGCAGGACCATTATTTGGTAATCTAACGCGTTTTTATGCGTTATTTTCTGCTGCGTTTTAATTTTTTTTCAAAGTGTATCATAAAAGATGAAACAAGAAGACCATTTGACTTTAAAATATTCTTGTGACATAGAATAACCGAAACGGTACGAATATAAAAAATAGAAACTAACAATGCGACCTGTATTAGCAGATTTATTCATGTTCAACAGCTACACGAATGACAGAGTAGAAACATCCTGTTTCAAAAAGTCACTTACATCTGATGAGTTTCTCAATAAAGTGCAATTCGATATCAGAGTTCAGCTTTAAACAGAAGGATGAGGTACAGAGTTATCGACCTAACAGACAGACTATTTCGTTTCTCGCACACACATAGTTAGGTATGCGAAAAGAGATGATTGTCTGTGAAATTACTTTATTCTGAGCGAAAAGATTTGTTTACTTTGTAAATGAAACATAGAAGTCATAGAATAAAGAAGCAAACACTGTCTTGTCTGACTGAGATGATCAAAACACATCCCATGTTCTCGAAATCGCTTCGGTTTGGATGATTAATCGCGATTTCGACAAAAAATCGCCGATTAATGGCGATTAATTGGTAATTTTTCCAGAAATCACGATTTATCACCATTATCAAAAATATCGCCAGTTAATCGCAATTAATCGGCGATTTTTTTTTTTTTTTAATTCTAGGTACCCACGTTCAAATCACACTGAAGTCATGTAAGTACAAGTTGTTTTCTTCCTCTATTTCGCCACTCTACTGGGTTATATAATCGTTTGTATGCATATCTATGCATCCAGACATGTACCAGAATTTAATCTGATGCTGAAGTTAATTTTTTTTCATTTTAATTGATTTTCACAGAATACAAACGCGTTCAAAACTAACGCGTTTGAACGGTCAAAATGCATCCTGATAAACGCGTCAGAAATTAACGCACATCAACGCGTTTTTTTGCCAGAAAACGTTTACCTGGGTAAATTTTCCATACACCCCTATCGTCTTTCTCTTTTGTTCATAACTCAGTAATGGAAAAAGCTTTTGACAAGCGGTTTGCATCAAAATATTCTCCGCTCTCTCTAGTATATTTGTAGATAAAAAAGTTAGAAATATTGCGTGTGGGAAAAAAAATTCTGATTATACCATTCGAAAGAAGGTCCAAAACTGAGTAAGATAAATATAGTGTGGAACTTAACTGAGAGAATTTAATCTATCTTTTAATATTTGAGATTTTGAGGCTATTTTTGACT